GCCCCGCTCCTCTCCGCCTCTCCTGGGCTGTTGGTTTGTTTCAGTAAAGCGAGACAGGGACTTTCAGCAAACGGAGCCTTGACACGAGTTAGGAAGGGTCGGTTTCCCCTCCTCTAGGTTAGCTCCGGGTCTTGAGAGTGCTGGGCGAGAGGGGTAGGAACACAGTGGGAATAAAAAAGGCAGGCTTGGGTACGGGAGGAAAACACAGGCGAAGCACCAAACCCCGTTGGGCGTTTGTACCAAAATACTCTTTCGGGCACCCAAGGAGCCCCTGAAACCCTTCAGGTGCTTTGATGCACCAGGGTTCAGGCGACGCCATCACCCGAGGGAGGGTTGCGAAGATGCACAGCGTGGGGAGGCTGAGAGCTCAGTTCTTGTTAAATCCATTCTAAAGAGAATAAGAAAAAAGAGCCTCGTCATGGGACCTACTGAAATGCTGTCGATTTTCATTTATCTGTGTCTTTCACCGCTTTAAATTCACACCATAAGTACTCTTCTGTTGTCAAATCAGGGAGTTTGCCACGCAGATCGTGTTCCTTCTGCTCTTTCCAACATTTTAAGATTGCCGCAGTTTTACGGCTTTCGATGAGTCTGGAAGCGATAACAACTGAAATCGAAAACCCAAATTCCGGAACGATTTCCTCACTGCAATCAGTAAAGCATCCCATATAGTTTCCATTAGCAAACTTGTCCTGAATGTCCTAGGAGCGGGAATCGGGCCCTTCGTCACCCCCCTTCCCCCAGGTTTTGATCTAACAAGGTAAAAATTTCCAGAGCCTCCTGCGGTGGCAGGGAAGCCCTGGTTCGGGCAGTCAACAGGTAAAAAAAAATAAAATCAAGGACAGATACTCTCTGTAGGGATACGGGGATCCCACATCCAGAGCTACACAGAGGCAGAAACATGTCCTGGATTGGATCTTGTAAATACCAGTACATGCTCTCCTTGGCACATTCCACTCACGGCTCTCTCCTCTCTCCCCTCAAAGCTACTCACGTGTGCTATCATTGTACCAGCTTGTCTTTACACCCCAGAATAATGCGCCTATTATTCTCTTCTCTCCAAAGCTTCCAACTCTAACTATGTCGTAAAAAATAGCCTTAATAAAACAGTGATAATTACGCTATTATTGTTAACACTACCCATTAAAAATTTAAAAATAGGCTTTCTGGTTTGGTCAACCATTTGCATTACATATCAGTTTCTGAGGAACTAAATCGTTCCACTATGTGTCAAATTTTTGTTCCTTTTCTGAAGACGACAAGACTCGGTTTTTTTTCGAGAAACTGAAGGTGCGTCGTAGGTTCACAGTAGTAATTGGACAGTATCAGCCAAAAGTTATTGACACCTTGCTTACCGGGGAAAGAAAATAATTATCCCGCTGGTACAAAATGTGTGATGTGTCTTTTTTTCTTCAGTCTTAGCACTTTCATGAGGAATGCCTGATTTATGAGCATATCACACTAGCAATGTTTTACTGTCCTCCTATTCTTTCCTTGTTTTGGGAAGGGAGGGTGTTCCGTTTGCTTTTTGTGTACGAGGCACCTTTTAGCAGCGGTAACACTGAAATGGGTGTATTACCCTTTCGAAAGCTGTCTCCCGAGGCTTGCCTCGGCCGTGTATCAGCAACGAAAGCTGTAAACTCGGAGGAATAAATCAGTTTTTAAAGTTTTGAGGATAGTTATGACAACCTGGATGTGACCAAACGGGAGAGCGAGACTTAATAGGTTTTAAATCTCCGTTTGGAACAGGAGGGGCGGCTGGGGGAAGAGAGGAGGAGAAAGAAAACTCCATAGAGATATTCTTTCCAATCTCCCTGGAAATTAATCCCAAATGAGGGAGTCTCCTTCCAAATCGAGCTTGACAGATCTGTGGGAAACACTAGACAGAAGGCAGAGCGCCGGACCCCGCATTCCCAGCGAGGCAAAGCTCCGCCACGGCAGCGGGGAGCGGGACGGGGCTGCTCGCTCCTCCAGGCCATTGGCTTGTCTGTATGCGGCTGTACTCTTCCTGGGGGATGTAAAAATAGTAGTGTTAAGAAGCCTTTACTAACACAATTTAAATCGACTCCGAAACTTCGAGTGCAACAGTCTTCCCTCCCCCCTCCCAGCCCCCCCTTCACTCGGCCACTCGGGCCTTTAACTCTCTGTGTTTACTCTTGGCAAATAAGTGCGTGTGGATGTGTGCGGGGGTGTGCGGCTGTCCGTGCGTGAGCGAACTGCATCCTGCGTTGCTCCAGGCTGAGACAGACGGTCCGTGGCAATGACCGTCATCTCTGGCTCAACAAAACCTCCCACGCGAGGTCCATGAAGGCTGGCACCCTGGTGGGAATGAATTAGTAAAGGGGTGAGGAAGGAAACAGCAGCGGCTCATAAACGAAAATGTTAACATTTGTGGGGATCAGTCACCATAATCCACGGAAACTGTCCCCAGAGCTCCGGTCTGCGAGAGGCAGATTCCCCACTGGCGTCTTCGTCTCCCGCTCTAGGAACCCTGCCTCATATTCTGAATACAGTGCCCGGTTACTGTTTTATATAGAAAGAGACATGAATAGCCCTTTTCTTACTGCCGCCAGACTCACAGCCATGGGAAAATCCTTCCCGTTCGCCACAGACAGCAGCCAGCCTCCTCCGACACGGCTACCTGGCCGAGCTAGGAAGGAGCCTGGAGGTGAGGTTCCCCTCTAGGCTGGGATTGTCCTGGGCGTCTGGGGAGGCCGAGCCTTCACGCTCCCCCCCAGAGAAATCAGGTCCCCAGAAAAGCGCAGAGACGATGCTGTCACCCGTGGGGAAGCGGCACCAGAGCGACATGGGCACAGCGCTGCCTGAGCGCGCTCTCCTCGCCTTGTCCGGCCCCATCGCACAGTCCCGCACCGCTCCGCGCCGGTCCCCGCTGCTCCGCTCAGCCCTCAGCCGCGGCTGCCGGGCAGGCGGCAGATCCGGACTGTTTTATCCATCCATCCATCCATCCATCCATCCATCCATCCATCCATCCATCCATCCATCTCTCTACCCACCCACCCACCCACAGCCTGTTCCTTCAGCAGACAGGCCTGATCCTGCTCCCCCAGCTCACACAGCCCGTGGAGCAGTGCCTGTTTCCTTCAGCAGCCAGGCCTGATCCTGCTCCCCCAGCTCACACAGCCCGTGGAGCAGTGCCTGGCTGCTGCAGGGTGGGATGCGGGTCCCCATCCGGAGCTGGAAGGGCACACACCCGATCTAGCGGCTGGAAAAGGAGAGAAGGGAAAGTGAATTTAGCAATTAGTTTTCAACAAACAGGCAAGCTTAGCAGAGAGCACATCACACATGTGATGAAAAGCAGCGCAGTGATGTGCTCATGATGTTCGTGTGGGTGGAAATGTGCGTGCGTGTCTACACAGGGAGAAGGAGAGATTGGTGGCGACCCCCCCCTAAGAATTACTGATTTATCCCCCTGGAATCAGTATGCTTGAGGCTGAAAGCGCATCTTAATCCATGCATCTAGGGGACTGGGAGTCCTGTTTGTTTGTTTGTTTCCCTGCATCGTGCCCGTCTTGCTAGACAGAGATCCCAGCGTGTTTTCTCTTGCCCTGCCTGCTCCCCACCGAAGCAACGTCACTTCAAATATGCCAGTAAATTCCTTACCGGGTCGGGAACGTAATTGGTTGAGTGTTTTCTGTAACCTGACTAGCCAATAACACTCCGAGAAAAAAATTTAGAATAACCTAGTTACGACAGACAATGAAAATGACCTGACTCTACACGTGTGAGTCAATATTAACTAGAGATTAAATACTTGCCGCACTCATTAGAAATATCGTAATACGTCAAAGAGATTACGGGTGCATCTATATTTACGGCACAAGGTCCTTATTTTCAGACAAGTGCTGTCCAAAGGGTTGCCCTTGTCATTTCTGTTTTAACAACATCTGCTACCTAGCATAAGCTCTGGCCTTGGTAACTTGCATTTCTCTGAGCCTGAGTTATCCTTGGCAGACCTTCTTGCAGTTGTTCCTCCTGAAAGCAGATAATAATTTATGCAAAACAATTAATTAAAAAGTAGAAAGGGGAGGAGACGTAGAACCCGTGGAACAAATGAAAACCGCGAAGGAAGAAAGAAGAGTAAACGACAGACAGCAGACAGACAGAATAAGTACAGATATGAAAAGTAAAATAGTTGTATTTTTTCAGCTGTTAAACGCACTATATAAACATTACGTATTTATTTTATGGCATTTGTAAATTTTAAACTAACGTTTTAATATCAGTGAATAGAAAGCAGAAAGAGTTATACGAATAGGAACCGATATTGCACCAGAACAAGAAATGAAGGCTATTTCTGCATTCAGATGTCAGCAGCGCATTTCCTTATCCTCAAGTTTTCAAAGGATTCTTAAAGCCTTATATACGCAGTTCTGCGGAAGCTGGTTGCCAGCAATAAATAATGCATCCGAGGAAGAGGCTTGAGTACGTATCTTCTCACTTCCAGGATGCGGCTAGGGATCCTCGCCCCAATTCTACATCAAGGTTGTGACTGAAAGCAGTCAAAAGGCTATTTAATTGTCAAGCAAGGCTTCCCCCTGCGGAACTCTCTCCGCGTGTTACAACCTCTTTGCAGCTCAGCTCCATATGCATCTCTTTTTCACACTTCCCTCTCCATCTCGGGCTCCTACACCTGGTGCATCACGCATTTAGCCCATTAGCTCCGGCTCTTCCTTTCATCTTGCCCGTGGCAGACGTTTCTATTTATCCACTGGCAATCAATGTGTGGCGTCACCGGTGGTACTGTAATGACGACTGCACCATTGAGGATGACAGCTTAGAAAGAAGAGGGCAATGGTGATCCCTCCCAGAGCAGCACAGCAGAGAGTAGCGCTCGCATCACAAGGTCACCCTATCTCACCGCTTGCTCCTCTGCATTGGCAGGAGGGGGTTGCTGGGTTTGCACAAGGCTGGGGCGGGAGCGGGAGGGAGGGGGGGAAGAGATCTGGATTTTTTTACCCCCTCCCTTAAGCAAAGCCACAATGGAAACCAGGAAGGAGATGGTGATGTTTCTGGAAGGCACACAACTTGGAGCTCTAGTTGGCAAGAGGGTGCCTAATTTGTCCGAAGCAGTGGGGAGCCCCGCTCCGGAGCCGCAGGAGAAGATGATCCATCGGAACTGCCTCAGCCCCAGACCTGGCCCCTTGTCCCGGGAGAGAGGAGGAGGAGGAGGTGGCGGAGAGGAAGACGGAAAGGAGGTGGAGGTGCTGCCAGGGACAGGGACGGTGCCGGAGAGCCGCTCAGCGGCGGCAGCGCTGCTTTCG